GATACATAACTTTTTCTTGAATGTCAATCTACTTGACTTAACGTGAAATATTAATATTTGCAACTCTCGAATTTCTGGGTACAATTTTTTTATGAGACAGCAAAAACATAGTTTCTTGTATTGCTTAGAAATATGTGAAACTATTTAGTTTTGAATGCTAATCACATTGCGGTTAAAAATTTGATATAATATTTATTTTAATTAGTTTAAAACTACTTGATTTTGCAGTGTTTGATGCTATTAAACTGCATATAATGGTATGTAACCAACGATATAGTATTGTAAAGAATGTTATTGACTAGCAAGCAAAAATTAATATTAATTGAGTTAACTCCCCTCAGACGCAATCCCATCGTTTAAGTGTAAAAGATTAATAATACATTCATCAGGATTTTTTTAAAATATTGCTTATAGGAAGACAAGAATATATTTGTTTCCCATATATTACCGGGGGGGGGGGAGAAAGCGCGCTGACCCAATATCATTTTGACTGACCCCTCTTGGCTGTGACGTCACCAAATGTTAGCTTCGGCTTTCTCCCATCAAGATGGCCTTGACATGAGTGTTCACCATGACCATTCACAAACAGTTGATAGAGCGAAATCTACTCTTGTACAGACTATTACGGCCCCTGCCATCATCAAAGACGTGTCTGGAGACACTCAAATCAGGGTGCCGACCCTGCTTTTACTATTGCATGCCACACAGACCCTGAATCAGGAATCATGGTCTTGGATACCTGATAGCTGCACCCCTTTGATCATCATTAGAGGCACACTTACGATACAGCGGTATGTTAACGACATTCTGAGACCTGTTTTGCTACCGTTCCTTTTGCAGTACCCTGGCCTTATTTTCAGCAAGAAAATGCCAGACCACATACGGCACGTGTTGCTATGAACTGTCTTCACACATAAAAACACTTCTTTGACCTTCCAGATTTCCAGATCTCTCTCCCATTGAGGATGTCTGGGATATGATGGGAAGACGACTGCATCTGCCAAGGAATGTTGATGACCTAACCTGACAATTGGAGCAAATTTGACAAAAAATACAGTAGGAGACCATCTGGGAGCTTTATCAGTCTATGCCATGACGTGTGGCAGCTTGCATCCAGGCTAGAGGCAGGTCAGCACCTTATTGCTTTGGTTTATTTAACTACGGCAAAGCACACAAGGGCTATCTGCCTAAGGGAAGGGACGCCTTCGTGGAGGACTTTCTAAGGGAACCTAGCTCATATGCACATTACACATGGGGAAAACCACGAAAATGCCCATGCAGCCAGCCCGTTTGCCGGATTCGAACCTCGGACCGAACTACCAGTGTTCAGCTACTTTACCGCTTGGCTGCTGGTGGGCCTCAGCATCTTATTGAGCTTGTTACTTTGTAACTATGTAACTCTGAGATTAATCATTCACTTGTTCTGAAATTTTAATCATTTTCTATTCTGTACATGATCTTCCTATCCACCAATTTTTGTCTCCATCGGACAACTCCTTCTTTGGTGCATCAATTATTTTTTTTTTTTTTTTTGTTTTTGTTATAGAGTGTAGCATAGCTGCTACATTCCAAAGATCCACAGATGAAGTCATTCATACACTTGTCGATGATATCTTGGCAGAGTCGTAGCTAAGGTTTTCAGCGCCCGGGGACAACTGAAGATTTCGCGCCCCCTACTGCTTGCCAAGGATGGAAAACATTTAATTCTAAAATGTCGTAACATCAGTTTGGCGCCCCTTGGATTCTGCGCCCGGGTGCAGTTGCCCCCGCTTGCTCCTCTCTAGCTACGCTCCTGTATCTTGGTAGTATCAAAATCTGTAGAAGAGCAATATGAACACCTAAAAATTTTATTCACCTACCTTCACTCTTTAGATTAAGTCTCAATGTCTCATTATGCACACCCGGTGTTCCTACAATTGCATTTTTAGATTTCATAGTTTCTCAATCAGGAAAAGAATCACATCATCCCAAAGGAGCATAGAGTACACTGAAATTTTGAAAATCATCCACTGTTACTCAATTCAGAAAATTTTCAAGTTTATTTAATTTACAAACGATCTTGTGCCAAAGGCTGCACATATTCTAGCACTCTTAAATTAATATTTAGAGGGAATAAAAAATTTTTAAATAAAGCAAGCATAATTCAAAAATCAAACACCAGGATGTACAGCAGGTCAGAGCCAGCTGAGCAGGCATTCATAAAAGCCGAAGGGCTTCTAGATGCTTCAACACTTCCTTTTTCATCCTATTTCAAATGCAAAGTTATATGTATTAGGTTATGTTAGCTATGTTGCTGTTGGTGATTCACTCATGCAACTAAACCAAAATCTCATTTCTATCTTTATAATTTTTGTCTGGAAACCAATTAGAACATTTTGTCTGTTAACCAATCAAAAAGCCCAACCAAGTGGTCCACCTATGATCACAAACTTTTTTCCCCATAAACAGCAGTGAAACGATTTCGTGACATGCTGAAAGAATGCACAGACCAAAAGTCACTTATTTATGCTTTTGAGCAAAACCCAGATAAGTACAGCCCTCATTAATGGCGACATTTATTACTTTACACACAAATAAAACTAACAACAAACTAGCTGACGCTCTTTCCATAATTGAGAAACATAAAAGTTCAAATTCAACATTCTTAGATTTTAAAGCTGTTGCTGCAGTCCAATGAGATATCCAGAATTAAAGCAATTGCAAAATGACAATACTATGTCACTTCAGTTCAAGATGGTGCCTTACCCTATTACCACAACTGACTAATTTGTAAAGCATTCACTGTTTCATTCAGATCATTGGTTCCAGAAAGTTTTCGTAGAATTTTATTTGAACATTTTTATAATCTCTCTCAACCAGGTGTAGTAGCAATAATTCAATGGATTTTTTACCAGGTATTTTTGGATCAAAATGAAAAAGGGCATCAAAGAGTGGGTAAATAGTTGCAATGCTTGTCAATGATCTAAAGTGCATAGGTATACCAAAACACCTTTAGGCACTTCTGCATTACCTGATCCCAGATTTTCTCACATTTGATCTGATAGACCTACTTCCATCAGAAGAGAAAAACCTATTGTTTAACAATAATTGATCATTTCTTCTGTTAGTCTGAGGTAGTACCAATAGCCAACATCTCTGGAGAAACAGTTTTCCATGCTCTGTTTAATAATAAGATTTTTTCATTTTGGCTCCTAGTGCATTTCCAAGGTGTATGCTGTCACTGGTGGATTTGAGTTCCATGCAGCTTAAATGTTCTATGAACGTTAAGAAAAACTACCTGGTTGATTCTCCCAGTAATCATATGCTTGTCTCAAAGATAAAGCCATGCATGTTTAAGTACATGCCATATTAAGGTGAAACAATAAACTGCTCATTAAATAAGGTATAGGTCCTTGGATCATACCTTACTACTTGGATAAATGTGGTAATTCTAGAGCTAATACATGCAAGTAAAGCTCTGACCCTCTGAGGATGAGCACTTTTATTAGACCAAAACCAACTGGATCTCATGCCATATTATGTTGTCCTTCTATTAACAAGCAGGAAGAATGGACAATGCTCAATGCTAAATTTATGAAAATCTCTGATTTTTTTAACGTAAAAACAGATCACCATATACAGTTTCATTTACTCCATGTGCACAGTAATTTGTTTTCGCTTAAAAACAAAATCAGAGAATTGCAAAATTTGGCTTATGCACAACTCTGGCATTGCACATATTAAGTATTACAGTCAAAAGTCGTTAATCCGAACTCGTCGGGACTTCGGCGATTCCGGATTATCGATTTTTCCGGATTATAGATCATCAGTTTAAATCTCGTAAGATGGCATGCAGAAATTCTAAAATTAAAAATATGAAACCGTAATTTATGAAATAAAGAACAATTATGATCTAAAGGGTATCAAAATTTGCAAAAAGAAAAAGCTTAATATTTATTTGTTTACTTTATTAAACATTTCTTTCAATGTAAGTTGTTTAAGTTTTGCTTCGTTTCATGTGATAATACTTTCTCTTTAATTCTATTAAACAGACATAATTTCTTGTTCAGTTACAAAGTTCCGCTGTTCAAGTCCTATAATTGCAATGTCGAGAACACCGACTAATTTGTCAATCGAATATTTTTCGTTTTCACTCTGTCACTTTCTTCGCTATCGGAAGCGAATTATAATGACGAGGAACTTGTTTTAAATCATATCAAAGACGGAGCACATCGAGATGAAATACTAATTTGGTAAGGAATTATAAGCCAAATAAAATAAAAACATCTGCCCTGAAGATAAGGATAGTGCTGACAGATCAACTTCCAATTCATTACGCACCCCCTGCGGCGTTCCCCCCCGCCGAGCAGCGTGAAATTAATAAACAGATTTCGGATTTCAAAACATACTTTCGCTTTGTAGATCCTTTACATATTAACAAATATATATCGGAAATTCTATTTGATATAATCGAAAGTTTCAAGCTTACTTTTATAAAATTGCTCTTACAGTCTGCAAAAAATAATAAGCCGGATCCAATTCGAAAATTAAGGAACAACGCAATCATCAACATTAACTGAAATAGATAATTAGATAATTTTAGCTTATACGTCCATTATACATAAAACGCGCACGCGAAAACGTATTCTGCACTTGCGCACACTCATATGCGCAGTCGTAAAAGGTCTTACGCGCACGCGTAAACGCCTATGCGCATGTGTTAACGCGGCGCATGCGCAGAAAGTTTTTAGTTTTGAGGTCCGGATTATAGATCATTCCGAATTATGGGTGTCCGAATTAACGACTTTTGACTGTATATATATTACATTCATTATATGTAAAATAGTTATTTGTTTCACGAAGCTTTATGTATCATCTAATTAGATTCCATGCCCATATTTATATTTGGTGTTAATAGAAAATAACCAAAACTTTTAACCAGTGGTAAGCTAATAAATCTTTTTATTTATACTAACATCACAATAGTATAATTCCTCATAACTAAGTATAAAAATACTTACGGTAGAATTAAAACATTTTCATCAGGATAACATTTATTGTATTCTTCAGCAGCTATCGGATCATGAAGCTGAGGATATAATTTGATTTTCTTTTCCATGAGATTGGGTACAGGAGCATAAACTAAGAATTGTGATTAAAGGTTAAAAAAAAAATAAGATACACAATAGAATAAAGACAAATAATAAAAAATTAGGCTTCAAAAAGTATTCAGAAAAAAGTGGTGTCCTGATTATTCACCCCTCTGAAAAGCATTCAAAAGGCTATGCACTGTGTCACCAAGACAGGCAACCCATGACGTTAATAAATTGTAATTATATGATAGAGCAGGTATGCACACACATGCAGCAGAGGAGTGTTGATTTCTGCCTTCAAATTCTACAGTCATTAGTATTTGTTGCCCTGAAGGCTTTCTTTTCTTTTCTTTTCATGTGTGTGTGTAAGGAAAGGTAATGGGGCTGTGGAATTTCCTAGCTGATGAAATTGAAGGCCTGAATTTCTTCAAAAATATGGCTTTGTCTAAAAGCAAAGAATGCCAAAATTAAATGATTAAATAAATAAATGATTAAATTTTATGAATCAAAAGTTGAGGCCAATGTTGAATTCATGCTATTCTCAGATATTTTTAGGCAAAAACAGATTGCTACATACATGGGAAAACAGCAGTACAATACAAAATTCGTGCAATTCTCTGGTGCTTTTTATGCGAGAACAGCTCACTGTGAACATTCGGAGAACAGCAATGAAAAAAGTTAGACACGGATTTCTTCAGAAAGGTATGTGTTTTGTTATGGATGTTTGTTGCTTTTCTTAATTTTATTGATTCATCGCTCTTTTTTGGAATTCTTGGTCCCCAACTATTTTCAAAATTGCTGTTGTCTTTCATGTATTAACCTGGTGCAAAATTAGTCATCAAGAAGTTTGTGACTTTTCAGAAGGAGCTGTGGATAATCAGAAACTACCTAGAAAATATTTTTTTACATAGCAAATGGGAATTAAAGAAAAATTCTGAATCACAAAAATTTAAGTATTCTAAAACATACTTTTATATAGAAAAACAGAAGAAAAATAAGTTAATCAATAATTTAGGATGCCACTTGGGGTTATCGCGAAATTGTTTCATTTATCACTAAATTGTTATTTAATTTATGGTATCCTGATTAGCTGAATCTTATGGAAACCCTCTTATGGCATCACTGGTTGCATGATTGCAGTGAATTTGACTGATGGGAAAATATTTGTAAGAGCTTATTTCTACATTGGATGCCAGTTAGGAAGTACGTTGCTTATTTTGTGAAATACACCATAAAATGGCTGTATGTGATGAGATTAATCTGAAGTTTCTGTACGGTTTGGAATGAAAAAGGGAAAAAAAAAAAGAAGCATTAATTGACTGGTGTGTAAATGAAGGCTTACTTAGTAGTGACTATAAGTGTCTGTTTGTACGAAGAAAATGAGTATGGTCGAACGTAAAGATCATTCAGATGGCTATGAATGGGTTTGTCGTAAGACAGGTTCATGCAAGAAATGCCACCGACAGTCCGGCACTGTAGAGGATTTTTTTACTCTTATTTTTGTAAATTTATGTGACGATAGTATGCATATTCTAGTTCAGATAATTTTAGAAAGTTTTTGAGTGCTGTTAAGGAATTTTGTGCACCCCAGACTGAAGACACAGAAATTTCTAAATATGGCAAGTCGATACTTCCTTTCTGTAGTGCATATATGCAATAACATGTATTTCCTTTTTTATGTTGTGCGATTTAAAATGCAGTTTATTGAGCTTCGAATGGCTACAAATTTCGTTCAATTTTGGTGATGAGCAACTTTGTTTAAAAATTATATGACATCATCATTCTTTTCATTTTTTTAAATGAAAATAGATCGTTGTGTACATGGAAAAGTCAAGGGAATGCGCAATGCCGAGTTTGAGCAATTCTCTGATGTTTTTTGAAGTGAAAATAGATCGATGTGTTCATGGACACCGAGTTTGTTCAATTCTTTGACTTGTTATTTTGGTTTCATGTAGCGGCCATCTTGAAATTGTGATTTGCTGGCCAATCGCCAATTTTCACCCAGGGGCACCCTGAAATATATATTTACCCCCCAAAATCTACAATGCTTATGATGAGAAAAATGTAGAACCATTTAAATTACATTTGTAAACTACATACTCAGTTAGTTTTCATCAACCTTAAAATATATACAGGCTGTCAGTCAGACCTATAAGTATATGCAGAAAAAGCAGGCTGCTGTATATCTTAGCTTAATTACTATATATTCTTGAATACTTAATAAATATGTAAATTTGCAGAGACATTAGGAGGATTTTTTGAAAGAGAGAGAGATTGAAAAATTAGCAACCGCCTTCACTGAGAATTGAACCACGGACCTCTAGATATCGGCCCAGCATGCAGAACCACTACACCATGAAGGCACACTAGGAAAGTAGAGAAATACCTTATATACTCCCCTTTTTTAAATGGCAAGTGGGATTTTCAGGGGACCCAATCGCCAAATCCTGGGTGTGGAGAAACCTCATCCAACACCCTTTTAGTTCAGGCACCACTATAAAGACATTAGGATTTTTTGGAAGCAAGAGAGATTGAAAAATTAGCAACCGCCTTCGCCGGGAATCGAACCATGGACCTCTGGATTACCGGCCCAGGATGCAGAACCACTACACCACGAAGGCATGCTAGGAAAGTTGGAGAAATATCTTACGAATTTTGTGTACAGCATTACATCACTGATAATTCACATTACAAAACTATTTCCTGCAATGGGCTATTAAAAATTTAAAACTGATTTTACCGGGAAAAAAATTATTATATCTTTAAAAACAATTTGTTTACTTTCAGAATTAATAAAAAAAATTATGCTTCTAAACAAAGTTGGAATGGTGCAAAACATCCCCCAAAAAAGTTGTTATGGTGCAAAACATTTCTACAAAAATGTTAAACAATCCTTTTTACATTTTTAAATAATACTCAAAGTTGTTTGATTTTTAATTAAGGCAATGAAAACAAGCATCATCTGCCATAAGAGGATGCCATGTGAAAGAGGGTTTACCTCTTTCGCATCAGTCACCCAAAACGGCTGAGCATTCAGACATTGGCAGGTGGCCCAAACTATTTTCTACCTGGTGCTGTCCCCCATCATGTTAGTGCATTCCTCATTGCTTTTGGGTGTTATTAAATGGCATGTCAATCATTCTTTTGAAGTGACTAAAAGTAGTTCTATTATTTGAATGAACCTTCCTTCTCCTCTGTTTAGAGTCAATGTTTTGCTATTGAGGCCTGAAGTTGCAATCCTGTCCTAAGGGCAAAATACCACACAGCGGTGAAAGCACATAAAGATCCCAAGGGAGAACTTTTTGCTTTACTTGAGTAGGTTATTGTTAGTGCTGTAGCATTTTATTTGGCATGGGGGTAAAGAAATCCATTCCGGCTAAAATACATACATATGGGCGATTTAGATGTTTGAGTGAAACAGATTTTGGCCTCTACTGACGTGAAAGAGTTAAGGGCAACTGGCTGGCTCTATTCATGCTACACTTGTGGAAAATCATAAAAATATCTCTGCTGCCAACCTATACACTAGGATTAAAATCTGGGTTGAGCTATGAGCATTCAGTAGTTATCCATCTAAGCATTATCCACTTGGCCACTGGTAGGACAAAAGTGAATCAAAGAAAGTGAAAATGCTTCTAAAGAATGCCACATAGGATAGCGATAAATAAAAAGATATAAGACAGTGAATAAAAACATGTATCCCTAGATTAAAAAAAAAAAAAAAAAAAAAAAAAAAAAAAAAAAAACGAAGGAAAGACAAGGAAAAAATTAACATACTAAGAAAATTATTTGCAGCAAAAAAGGTCTCTGAAAATTAAAGAAGTTTAAAATTTTTGCACCTTACGTTGAGTTCACTATTAATACAGTAAACAGATACAAATTATCAATACAATACATTTCAAAATTACATAGAGAGATGAGATAGAACAAAAATTAACAAAATAGATGAAAGGATTACTCATAAGAGCTAGATATTTCATACATGACTAAAACACTAACCTTTTATACAAAGCAATGACTTTGTATTATAAAAAATTAAAATTTAGAGTACAGCTATTTCATCCACTTTAAAAATTCAATAACAAGAAATAATGTGATTCATTTAGAGATTGCTTTAATTTTCATGTCACAAATTGAAAGTTTGCAACTTTGATATGTAAGTAATTGACATATAAATAATGTTTTCTTTCTGATTATCCCCGTATCTCCACGATAAGTCCCATATTCATTAGCAGTTTTGTGAACAGCTTTTGTTTGGCCATTTTTGTGGTTCATAAGTATTGTTCTGTTCCTAAATAATAACAAGCATTTTATAGAAACAAGAAGTTATATGATAAAAAAAACAGGAGACTACATAGCTAGTATTTAGATTTGGAAAAAAATATATGGTGAAAGTATATTTATGGGTACCCCTTGGCGATTTTTAGCGGCACATGGATAATGAGTTTGTGCAATTCTTTGACTTATTAAATTGGCTTGTGCAGAGGGGATTTTTGCGCCAAAAATTGCCGCTACACAAAGCCAAAATAACAAAACAAAGAATTGCACAAACTCGGTATCCATGTAATCATCGACCTATTTTCACTTAAAAAAAATCCCAGAATTTCACAAAATTGGCATTGTGCACTCCTTTGACTTTATCCATGTAGACATCGACCTATTTTCACTTAAAAAGTCAAAGGAGCAGCAACAAAAAATATATATAATCTCAATAAACTACATTTTAAATAAAACAATGAAATAACATAAAAAAGAAAATTCATCTTTACACAAAAGAAATATTCAGACGCCTTATTTACGAATTAGCACGTCTTCAGTCAAACACAATTCCTTAACAGCATCCAAAAACTTCCTAAAATTATCTGAACTAGAATCTGTATACTGGCGTCGCCCCATAAACCCACAAAATAAGAGTAAAAAATATCCTCCGTAATGACATTCGACCGTACACATGTCCGACGTTCGACCTTATGCATTTCCATCCTACAAACAGGACACCTAATAATGGCTAGTAAGTAAACCTTCATTTACACACCAGTCAAGTAATGC